TAAAGCTAAACTATATATTATATAAAATCCCAGAAATCTATAATATATATATATATCAATGAAATATACATGAAAAAAAAAAATGAAATTCTTCTTTATATGAAGAAGTAATTCAAATTCCTATTAATTCTCTAAATTCTCCATTTTCATAGAATCAAAGAATCTATCGATTAAGTATTAGAATTAGAAAAACAAAAAAAATCTTCTTTCTGAAAATACAGAAATTAAATTATAAAATGATTATCTAAATTAAATTTTTTCAATTTCTATAATTTCTATTTCAATTCGAAATATACATTTTATTTTTTTTATAATATTATATCTAATCATGAAAAAAAAAAAATTATCATATACGAATATCTCTATTGAATCCAAATTTCGAGTCAAATTTATGTAGTAATAATCTAAATGAGATTTCACATAATTCATCTTTTAATATTAGATCTTCTATCATCGTTAAAATTATCAGTCTAATTAAGATCCTCTTTCCTCGTCTCTTATTATCCAAATTTCTATTCTGAATAATTGATGTGTTCGATCATAGCCTTCCTATATTGGTAGAAATAAGAATTTCATTAGGATCATAAAATCGAATTCCTCCCTTGAAATCTTGAGTCTTAGCCACCATAGCCAGAAGCTATCTTTCATTCATCTATCTATAGATAAATTTAAATTTAGAGATCTATCGATGAAATCATCGATTTCAAATTTGATAATTATATTGATTGATTTAGATCGTTTTTCCATCAGATTGATCTATCAAATCTTTTATTCTGGGCTCCTCTTGAATCAATTTTCATTCCATAATCTGAAAATTGAATATATATATATAGCCCTATCATGATTATTTTCTTTGGAAAACATTGCACGCCCCTGGATTGCCTCAATCTTTTCGCATGCACATCTCAACCAAATTTATCAAATGCTTCTCTGCGCGTCCTGCGCACAAAATCTGCCATCTTGCTGGCGTTGGAACCTTAAGATCAAACAGAGACAAGTCAAAAAGCGCAGCAGCGAACCGCGTAGACAAGAAGGGCGCTCGCCGACGTGACGTTAAAGAGGGGTGCCGGCTTGCTCCGCGCTGAAGCGTCAAGGAACGCACATCCACCGGGACTTCCTTGAATTTCTGCAACGTCCACTTCCAACCCTGCATCTCCGGCTTCAGTCCTGGGAAACAGCGGTATCATTTTTGTGCTGGAATGCAAGGCTGTTTTTTTGTCTTTTCGCAATGTGGGCTGTTGAGGAGGGAGGGGTCTTGCCATGCGAGAATACTTCTATAGTAATCAAGAAACGAACTTTCCTGAATTGTTGCATCATTCTTCTTGTGGGGTTTTTGCTGATCTTGATAAGTTCACGACTTTGAGAACACAATCTCAGTAACATTCTTATGATTTTTCGTTGCATGAGTTCCCACGCCTGCTCTCATTACAGGAATGCTATCTCGATCTATCTTGAGTTTTCTTGTATGTGGCGATATCCAAAGAATCCTGTCTGGATGTACGGGGCTCACATGACGAGTGCACTCACTTATGGAAACCGAAACTCCACAAGCTTAGACACCTTCACCCCTAGCCATTCCAACATGATGAATGCAAAAGGACGCATGGGCTCCGGGTTCGACAAAGACTCTGTGCAAATGGGGACCATGCCCCTGAAACCACTGTATTTTGTTTTTGCATCTGGCCTGTGTTTTCCCTAGACGTTTGGTCAAGGAATAGCAGCCCACGAAGATGCTTCCAGGACTTGACCTTGAGCAGCTACGTAGTCTGTAAGATGTCATTGGCCAGGGCTCGCTGGGCGGTGTCTGCATCTGGCACTACAGGCGCGCCTGACTGAGTTCTGGAGAAAATCACAACTAAAATCTTGGGTTCTGAGACGGGAAGCTCATCATATCTAGTCGTGTAAGCTGCTTGTAGGAAGGATTGCTGATAAAGGGGACGAGATTAGCCAAGCAGTCCGAGGTCCTCCGTGCCAGGAGAAACGATCGATCTCACCATCATCCTGGCAGTGAGCATCTTCGACCACGCGCAGGATATGCTTGCAACGTGCAACAAACTTTAAGTCAATGCATTAGCCGCATTTGATTTGATACAAGTTTCACGTCACAAAACAAGCCCTATCTGACTTGCCCGTCTCAAACTTACATCATTCTAGACCGCAACGCAGGAGCTGCCAATGCTAATGGATCTGTCTACGGTACATCGCGAATGGATACCAAGCTGGACCAGTAAGCTGCCAACATGCCTGCACATGAACACCCTTGCACTCCTGCCAAGTGTGACTGACTGCTAACAATTTCCTCCTGCCTAGTGTTGGCATCACAGAATTCACAGGACATACCAGGTTATGCCTTGTTCATTCCACCCTGCAAACGTGGCTGATGCCTGGCGCGTCCAAAAAAGGCAGGCGCTGCCTTGGGATGGAGTAACCTGGGAGACATAACGCGGCACAGCGGTGCTTGAACTGCCTGCTTCGGGAACTTGGTGTTCTCATGCTGTCATGCCGCATGTGACACCGGAGTAGCATCGCTGCAGTGAGCAGTTTGCACGAGACGGGAAGTGGTTAGGGCAAAGTTCTCGTTGGATGCTTTGGGACTCAACTTGACGAGTTTTACTGCCCTGTTCACGCGACTGCACCTGTGGAAGTCCAGTGCTGGGTCCAGTCGGGAAGGACCCCATGTCAACCATACGTTAACCCATGCTGCAGCTCATTCCGGGTGCAGGTATATGCACAAGAGGACCCCAAGGGGCAAAACTTGCATGATTCATCTGTGGAGGAGCTCTCAAGCCAGTGGATCCGTGGTCTGCGTGAAAAAGCAGGTCGCGTGCTGCCTGTTTGATGCGTGCCTGGGCTGGGGAAGAGGTGGCACAAATGCCACAACTTGCAGAAGTGAAGGACAAGCAGGATCAACACGTTTGGTAACAAGCGGACTAACGAATCCATAGTTCGCATATGAGATATGCGTTACGTTGACATTTGGGTCCGCTTTGTGCTGGCATTTGCCCTTTGATAATTAGGAATGGGAACACTGTGTAACGGGCTGAGCAATTTTTGGGGGGTCTTTGCCAGCCAGGGTACGGCATCAACAATATCAAGCCGTGTTTCATCCAGCACCTTAATAGAAAACACGGCTGAGCAACGGCGCTGACTCACTTCTCAATGATGCAGATAACATGGGCAATGCTGAGGTGTCTGTTGGCACGGAATCCTTAGCGTTACGCTGTGACGTGCACCGCCACGACACCATCCGACGCAAACTCAAGCTATTTGAGTTTCTCTTCAAGCGCCTTGTCCGTGTGATCCAAACTCACATCAAGGAGTTCACCAGCTGCCTCAAACAGAGATAACACCGAGCAGCTAGATGCGACTCAGATTTCAGCATCAGGACTGAGCATGCCCGACAACCACCCTCTGGCTGTTGCATCCTTGGAAGTGCCTCGATCATTCGTTCTTCGGCCTCGCTTGGCGGACCTCCGTCCCAGATGCAAGCTCCGCTGCTCCCGCACGTGAACAAGTGAAAGTGCAAAGCACTGCCGGCACCTTCCTTTTGTGGGTCCAGAGCGACCGGGAAAACCGTCTCCCCTCCACGAAGGCCAGGGCCAAGGCTTGAGAGATAGATGATCGCCTCATGATCACACATCTGAGGCCCCTCCACTCTAGAAGCTGCAGCTGCAACCGGCTCATGCAAACATGTTCTCTTGCAGCTCTACGGCCGTGCAGAAGCGCCAATGCGCTGCATTGGTGTCGACCTTGCGTTGCAAGTAAGTAATTAGGTATTGTCCAGCATATGCTCCAATGGTGGTGCTGCTCAGCTTCCATCATTTCTCAACTATGTAGCCCGTTCGAGAGGCCAGTCATTGCAAATCACTTTGACATGCTGTGACGTGCTATGGTGGCCATATGACTACTGCACCAATCATCCATTGCTGGAGCATCCGCAATTGGGACTGCCAGGACGCCTTTCAGCTCATACTTTTTTGCAGAAGTCTCGTTTTCCCACAGATTCTTCGGGGGCAGCGGGGACTTCGAGACACCTTCCTTGCCAAGCCCCTGAGCAATATGTAAGGCATAACATCCTGCCTCGACCTTGGCAGCACAAGCGCCGCGCATCGTCTTGCGAGAAGACTCGGCCCAGAATCGTCCCCATGAGTACTTCCGATCACTGGCAGCTGCTGGTAATCTAAGACACGATCCTGACCCAAAGTCTAAAGAGAACGCCAGCACGCCAACGAGTTCACGAGGCTGATGCTTTGACGGACCCCCGCGCGAACCACGACGGCATGAGCTTCCTGGCATGAGCATGTCAAAGTGTCACAGGTGATGTAGAACCAGTACTACTGACGCGTAATTTCGAGCAATACGTGCTACGGGTGGAGAGCCAAGCCAAGACGCCTAGGTGGCCGCCCATGGCATGTGCAGCAGAAAATGGAAGGATGTGAGAAAGGCAACTTAGAAAGGAAGACAAGGCGCACGCTGCCATGATTCTATCAGACGAAAAACCCTCAGGCAACAACTTGGCACCAAAAAGAAGCGACACGATTGAAACTTAAACGATGACAGAAGGAAGAGACGCTTCTCAATCGCTGCAAACTGTGATGGCACAGGTCTTGTTGATATCAGTGGTGGCAGAGGTAACGTTTCTTCCAGCCCTCCCTTTTCAAGTTATTGGCTTTTGCATGGCGGCTACTCTGGGCCCTTGCAAGTAATCAGCTGGTCCAGGTCCTTATCTCCTCCGGCATCCGTCGTCCGCAGGACATGCAGGTGATGGCGAGTAGTGGAGATTTTCTCTCAAATAAGATTACGTCAGACCACCTGTTCCCTTATGTTGCTTTATTCAAGCCAATTGGCATCCCTCATATCTTCCAGGATATTGATATTGTCCCAGCCTCCTCGTCTGAAGCTGTCTTCCAATCCAAACAAACTTGAACCAAATTTTGCTTCCGGACAGATTGGACATTCGTTCTCGGGGACGTAAACATGATTTGTCAGTACGACACAGAAAGACCATTGCACATGTCTTGCATGGAATGGCAAATGGGCATGCTAAAGCCAGGCAACTTGCTGCAGGAACAGTTCCCCAATAAAGGAATGTACTGGGTTGGGTTGAAAGCCTTTCGACATCTTTCGACTATGACGGCTTCATCGCGCGGGAAATTTTGTGGAACGTTGTAGACTTTCAGGCAAAGTGGTTCTTCATGCTTGAGACGTCCGAACATAATGAATGAGTGAGGCGCTGAATTTGAACGGCACATCAATGCCTCCTGGCTGTTGGATACGAGTTGAATGAGAACCTGTTAGGCTGAGGCATCGCGCCATGCGGAAGCTGAAGATGAGTATGTCCGACATGCTACTGTGATGTACGTTGATGCGCAAGGCGTTTCTGGGTGATTAAGTTAAAGCCATCCTAGTGCACCAGGGGCGGGTGATGCAGAAGATCTTAGGTTTGAAGCAAGTCGCGACATCCAAGTCCCGTTTAGGCTGCTGCTTCCCAGGACGGGCCAAGCGAGAATTCTCTGAGTTGAGAAAGCAAATGGGTCTTCGGATTCGGAGCAGGAGCATATCGCTAAATAATGAAGCGCGACCTCATTCTCACGTCACATCCCGAGACAGCTCATTTGGGATACTTGATTTCATCACCTCTACGTCGGCAGATTCTCAGTGACGCAGACCCGATCCAGGTGTCCCGCTTGGGCTCAACCATCGGGATATACCAAAAGAACTTGTTCGAGACCAGGTACGCGATCTCGTTTCACGGTTGACCCTGAAAGCTGTATCAGCGACTGCAATTTCTAAACGAGTTCCTGACTCCAAGACTTCATCAATATCTGTGAAGCATAGTGGCAAATCGTCGACCTTTGCCAATAACATCGCTGAGTCTTGGTCCACTAGCGACACCATCCTGCTGAAGCTTATCCAACAGCAGCCCAAACATGCATGGCAAGAGTCGCCACCCCAGTCAGAAGCCCAGATTCTGACGGCCCCTGATTCCACGCAGAGCATGCATGGGTTTGCACCATTGGCCTCTAACAGTCTGGGGGCACAGGACGGATGTGTACAACTTATGAAGCACTGAGAAGAAGCCTACAGTTAGCATGCCCGCAACTCGCGGAAAGCGTCCACAACTTCGGAAAGAGGCAGAGGGAAGACTGCCGATGATCCTTCGCAGTCGACATCACACAGGTCAACATTTTGCCGAGTGCGGTTGCAAAACTTAGCAGTCAAACCTGGCATGCCCAACAACTTTCCACGCTGTGTCTTTGTGACAGAGCAGTGGCCGCCTGTTGGAGAAAGGCTTCGGAAATTAATCTTGGTATCTGAATAGCACTTCTGCCTGGAAGACTTTCTCCATGCACTCCTTTACTAGCTTCGACATCTGGTGCTGGCTGCCAGCATGACGTACAAATGGTGCCGCTGATACATGTTTGTACACTGTCAAATGTATTTAGTGGCACATGGATCCTCTTGTCCGCCATGTTGCGCGCCAGTGTCTTCTTGTATGTAACCCCTTGCTGATAATAAGCTCTGTTGCAGAGGCACGTGCTTTGGGTCCAACTCCTAGCCCTACGCAACCGCGTCAAGCCCGCCTCAAGGTCCTTTCGCTTTTTTGATCAAGTCTTCGAAATGAAAATGTCATAAGAGCCTCAACCTCTACACACTGGGTGCGGGTGGTCCATTTTTGGCTGCAAACACTCCGAACGACTGGGAACCTCATCATCTAGCGCACACGCAGATGTCATATCCCAGCCAAGTCCCGCGCTGGGGAGGGCTGGCGCTATACGCAATCCATGTGACAAAGCAATACGCGGCACCTCAAATCAGCAGAGCAAGCAGCCACCTGTTCTGATACATAAATATGTACATATGTATGTTATGTTTAGGCAGGCGCATTGCACTCAGCATTTGCTTTGCTCAGGGCTTAAGGCTCAGGTTCTGCTGTGCATCTGCCATTAGCCTCGACCACCAAGACGCCAACCACCCGAAACCCCGCGTTGAGGTCAAACTTGCGTCCTCTCTCGAACTGGTGCTGCCTAATTACAAATTGCCCATGCACACGGCCACGTTTGCTGAAGAAACCCAGTCTTGGCCCGAGGCCCGCCCACCATAATTTTGGAGGATATATGTACCAGCTCCCAGCATATCGTCCTGCCTGCTACGGGCCCGACTGCCGAGCTTGCGATGACGGAAATATGTATGATGACGTTTTCAGATGTTGGATTGGGGGATCAAGAATGAATGCTAGCACCAAACTCTTTCGGTGCGGGCGGGTGATTTTCAGGTTGCGTTGCAACTTATTTAACTGAGAGTATCTTCTGGTGACTGAGCTGAGTTGGTCCGACTCGCATTTGAATGGCAATCAGAAAGGCCTTGCAAACAAGAGTTGCTTGGCAGAGGCTGATGCTTCCGCAGAACGCATGAGCAGCTGACACGTCTGAGTTACCCACGTGCAGGCCCAGGTGCCGACTTATCCCGTCCTTCACATCACTCTCATCGGCCTTCAGATCACGTTGGACATGGCCAGGGCCAACCCTTTGCCGATGCAAAACTTTATTCCAAAACCAAGAGATGCACTGCGGGCGACCTGTTGCAAGTCTCGGGATAAGTCAAGCGAGTGATATTCGAATCCCGCATGCAGGAACAGGTATGCCGTTTGTCATCTTGAGCGGCCTCGCTCTGGTCTGGCGGAGTCAGAGTCCCCACAAGAGCCGTCTCGTCTGGGTGAACAGGGCAGCCAGTCCACTCAGCCAAGCGAGTTTCGATCTTCATAATCAGCTTTCGCCTTGCATCTAAGCTACTCCGTCAACTCTTGCTGGATTCTCTGACGCATTCCGTGGAAAGAACTACGTGGAGAGGGCCCGGAGTGGTTCACTACAGTACTACACGGCGGGTCTCTGCCAGAGTTGAATCCAAGCATCTGCTCGGGTGTCCAAGCCGGATCATCCAAGGCCAAAGGCGATCGTAGTTTGGTCTGGAAGTTACTTCTCTCTGCTTTCTGCAAAATCCTTAACTTCATACGGCGGTTTGAAATACACAGCGGAAATGCGTAACCTCTGGTCTGCATCCAGGGCGCATGTCCATGAGATTGTTGCACTCCATGGGACTAAGAAATTTGCGCCTGAGGCTCTACTTTGGATATGTGCATCTGTAAAACATCTTGTCACCCAACATCAAGCGATGTATCGATGAATCATGGGGAGTGGAACATGTGCTGAATTGCCAAGTCTTTTGCCTTCTAGGATTCTAGAACGACCTTTCAAGGCTACGGGCATGGCTTACAGGCATGGTGTAAGGGACCTTTGTGTTTCTGCATGTCATAAAACAGTCTGCAAGTAAGTCGCTGGAGGTATGCCCGCGGTTTTCTTGACAGAAGCTCCAGGCAGCTCTCTTCAAATGGCTCCGCAGGCAGAGCAGTCGCCTTGGAAGGTGGAATCGTCCCTTCGCGATGCCTTACATGATGTAAGCCGGTGATGGATGGCAGTTCTAGACCATACCTTCGACATTCAGGCGGGCATGTCGCAACCCTACGCCCTTCTGTCAAAGACTTGCGCACCAGACTTGCGCTAGAATGGCAGGCATGCAAGCCAGCAAAGATGCATGGCTAGCACAGCCTATATGTCTGAGCACAGTGCAGGGCTGCAGGACTTGGGATGGGATGGTAGCGAGCATCCTGGCAGTGTCATCCCCTGTCATCCCTCTGCAAGCCGTCGCTTCTCCCTTGCTTGCCTGCTAGGCACCAATTCAGCTCGGTCATACTCAGCTAATGTCTGCGCCCATCCACTATCTCACTACAGCAATGGTCTGTAGCTGTGATTCTTCGGCCCCTGCATGCTGCAATATAACTACTTCCGTCACCGCGCACAAAATGCTCCTGACCAACTCTCTTCGCAGAAGGCTTCATCGCTAGAAGTCCTCACGAGGACGCCTGGCAGCCAAGCAAACAAACAAGTATGTACGGTATCACTTTCCCCCTTGCAACCGCCAAGAGGGCGCATCGTCCCGCCTACGCGATGGTATTTGGTGTTGAAGGTCCGCTGCCAGTCTTCAAAAGCCTTTTCAACAGCTGCTCGTACCTGCAAGGTAGGGTGGGCAAAAGTCGGTCGAAGCCTGAGAAACCCATATTTGCCAAGAAGCCTCCGGGGGGCTCATAACTTTCCTTAGCGGCATCTTGAGTAAGGATTCTGCAGTGCATTCGCTTGACATGCCCAAATGGTGTCTAGCATCTGAAGCTTCTCCACCAAGGCCGAGATGTCATGTAAATCGTCTCTCCCAACATCGGTGGGATCCAGTGACATGGTGGACAGCGCCCTCGCGCCTTGAGTCTTCCAGACGTAAAGATACGTAAAGTGGGCGCCCAAAGCAACAACAACCCAAGCCCCTTGCTGCCAAGAAGCATTCGCGCCCGGCCAGGCGATGGTAGGGACCTGGGGGCGACCTGCTCCCACTCTCCATTCCCACATATGCTCAAATCCTGTGGGCGGCACGCACCAAAAAATCAATTGAAGTAAGGATCAAAACGACCAGTCGTGTCAAGTGATGACCGATGTCCCCGCCGCTGTTCGAAACTCAAACCAATATCAAGGATTGGGGGATAGCTTTCGTCTGCGCATTTGCCATTTCATTGTCGAAACAATCTTGAGCGTACTTTGGGTAACCGAAAGAAATTATCTGGAACCGCCCAGCCATTCATGAGTATACGGTATAAGGTCTTAGATCCAAGCTTCCCCACTCTTCCGTGAGATATCAGGAGTCCCAGTCTCAGAGCTGGGGTGCGGGCTTGCCATACAAATCCTTACGGCTGCTAACATCGAAAACCTTGGGTGAGCAAGACCATTGCACCAAGGTGATACAGCTAAGTGGGCTTTACCGACCTCCCCAGCAAAGCTGATGTAGATCTCTCCGCACCATTCGCCGTCAAATTGAGCAAGCTCCTGGCTACCAACGCCCCTGGATGCTCCCAGAGGTTTTCCACTGATTCCTCTCTGGTGCCGAACTGGGTCAGCGCTTATGCGAAAGCAGCAGAATCACAAACACGTGTACCGTACAGGCTTCGGGGGTGGACATTGCGGACACAAGCAACACGGGCCAGCGGTGCCCTGCAAGTGAAGGATCGGGCATGGGATGAGCTGACCATGGAACCAGGCTGCGAAGAAGCACACAGCCCTAGTGTTGGAGAACTGATACTCTCCAGTGATTGGCGTTGCGACAAATATGCTATGCAGCTGGGAAGTCCCGCTGTTCGGAAGGAGCTTGCACTTGTCTTTGTTTCCATGCAGAAGTCGAACAAGTGCATGATACGTCAGCATGTAGAGCTTGCAGCCAGAGTGAAAACAGATGCGATATGACGGAAGCACGCCTGCAGCAATTACTTCAAGCTCATTTCAGCGAAGTCAGATTTCGCAAGTGTCGACAAACACTTCGCGGCATGCTACCCCAACAGGCTATGGCCGCACTTTGACTGCACCATTGTCTTTATTTTGTGCTTACTGAAGGCTGCCAGATACGGCAAGTGAGCTGATTCACTGATAGCCTCAGCACAAAGTGTGAGGAAACATAAGTCAAAGCCGTCAAAGCCCCAGGGGATGTCTTTGTCTGGGTTGCCAGCAAATGAGCCATTGCACTCTCTGCTCCCCCAGCGATCCGACATAGACCTTGCATTTGAGGCTCAGAACTGTACCATCCAGGAACTCACCGCAACTGCTGTCCTTCATGGGCGCGCGAATAACTTGTCCTAACTTTTAAGGCAGTTGTAAAGGCACTTGGTTGCGACAGCCTTTGTTTCAAGCAAGCGTTTGGCAGTGCTGTTGCGCTTGGAATGCAGCTGACCAGGACACGGCAAGGGTACCCCTTTGCGACTGAGGGAAGATCATGAGCCATCTGGGCCAGGTCGTAAGCACCCTGGAGGTCAAGCCTCAGCATGCTTCCGCCTCACTGAAGAACACGCCGGGCAATGCACCCCCAGAAGACGACGTGTCCCACGCAGAATTGACTTTGACTTTGGCTCCAGTTTGAGACGCCTTTCATCCAACACATGGCCTACAGGAAGGAACATGCTTGACCGCACGTCTCTGCACCTAGCTTCTGCACACGAGGCTGCGATTTAGAGTTGAGAGCTTGCGGTGCATGTGGGATCGTGTGGGCTTCCTGGCTATATAGCCAAGGTCTGCACATGACACTGATCAGAATGCTTTGGCTCTCCGTCGTGTTGTCACCCGATCCGACCTTGAAAAAAATGCGCTCTTGTGATGGGCACTCACGCTTGCACAAAGCACAAGGCTCTTCGAATTCTCCAAGAGCAGCACATCCATGAATCTAGGGCAGCTGCCATGATGTGCCCTGCAGACGTCACCTCCAGTCCGAACCAGCATGCTGATTCGCTGCGCAGCGCTTGCTCACGCGCGGCTTTGCTCCCAGTTTATACTACGCAGCTTTGAAAACACGACACGCAAAGAACTAGGATCATTGAATGTGCACATAGCTCTGTTGGTGGCCAACCCTTCAAGGATCCTCACAGGCTGGCTGCGGTTCGCGCATACTTCCAACGCAAACACTTGGATTCCTGGTGCAAATTATTCTGGTGAGACTTGTCAACCCAAATCGGCAATACATGGTCCTCCAACGCACCGTCAGATGGTAGCTCTGATCCATAGCAAGCAGAAGGACAAGAGGTTGTGAACTTCTACAGCCATCTGTGGGCAAGAGAAACCTCAGGCCAGGATTTGGCTCTTGTTCCGGGAGCTGTACAAGTGAGAATAGCACATTGTGGCAAACTGTGCCGGCATAGCACGGCAACGCGCAACAGGTGGAGAAAGAGAATAAATATGAAACCAAGACAAAGCCAAGACCTCTTTCACTACCCTCGGGTTTTTCAATTGCAGAATGTTTAGGCGGTCACCGAAACTTTCGGATCTCTCTCATTATGTATAACCAGCAACTCATGTTGCTGATTTCGGAATCTCTCGTATGAGCGCTCAAAATCCCATAGGGACTTTGGCTGGCGTTCCACTACGACTTTCTCCACAGGCACTCTTTGACGACAGTAAGCGTCCGTAGGCACTGGGTTTGTGACGTCGTTCTCCAAAGCGCCAGTGCTCGTCGGCATGTGTAAAGCCCGGGTAGCAGCTATGCATTTTCGCACATGCGATAAGATAACGCGGCCATCAAAGTCGGGATCCAGGTCGTACATCACCTCAACAAGCTGTTGGATGGACACCTGACCCCTCTCCACGATGTGAAGTCTCTGCCTTAGATGGCTCATGTACCTTAAGACAGATAGCTGCAAATAGATGCAACACCCAAAACAATTTCTCAAACCATGCCTGGTGAACCTCTTGAGCCGCGGTGAGACTTCTCATCGTGAATTCAGCGCTTGGAGTACGACACCAACAGGCCCACACTCACGAAGGCAAATGAATGGAATGGCTTATGCAGCAAAGGAGCAACCCCTCCAGAAACTCAGCCGGCTCAAGAATGCCTGCTTGCAAGCACTCGCCAAGCAAGCACCAATGCTCTCCCACGCCCACCTGGCACGCCACGATTTACGGCCTTGAAAAGGTGAGGTAATCGAGCATGGTGGTCACGCATTGCCTCAGGGCATCGTCACATGCCTGGGAACCTGCTTGAATTCTCCACTGCTGCATGCGAATTCCCTGCGTTCATGCCTGGTCGAGACCAAGGAAAATCTGGGTCGCCATGGCGGAGTAGCTCTCTCCTGCCTGTCAGGTAGCTGACGCATGAGACCTGTAATGCCCAGCGGTCAGAGCAGATTTGCTTGCAGATTGCTGCAGCCTAGTGCCCAGCCTGCAGATCCCAAGCTAGCTGCGGAGGGTCATCTGGTACAGTGACATCATCAACCTTGCATCCAACATTTGCGGATGCTACAGAGGTGAGTTACGATGGCAAGGGGACAGCCAGCCTCTCCAATTGCATGGGTTGCACCCAGCATTTCCTCGTTCAGCAACCCCGAATTCTTGATCATTGGATCTGCGAAACGTCCTTCAAAGTGACCTCAAAAAGCTGGCTTCACAGGATTGCAACAAACAAAGCAAAGCCCCTGGCCTTGCTCGAAGCGAACTGCCTCAACAAATGCCTCCTGAGGATGGCACAAACAAGCATATGCGTCTTGCTCCTCTCGCTGCTAATGCTGCTGCTGCCATTGGAGGATTCTGGACTCTGAGCTTCATCCGTGCAGCTTCTTTCTGCTGGCGGAAGCGCTTGCAGACAGATTAGCACGCCAATGTTACAAGCATTTGAATGGCATAGCTCGTTCTCATGCACGAGGATCTTCTTGGTAAATTGGTGAATAGAGCCATGCACATAGCCGGCACTTCGTGCAGCTGCTTCTGCACAACTGGTGCAAAATTGCAACGACTCAGGACAGGCACTCTCAGTTACTATGTAGTGACCAGCAGTGAGCAAATTCCAAGAAAATTGTGGCAGTGCGGCGGGTGCAGAAAACTAGCAGTAGCCACTCTCATGTTTTTGCGGAATGCTAGTGGCAGCCAAACGCAGTGCACGCCAATGGAACCCATGACAGCTCAGCATTGCGAGCACCCCTCATCTGCTAAGCCTGGGGCCTGGGCGTGATCAGCTCTTGGCTTCGGCTCAGAAAAAGCAGGTTGGAGCGGAGACGAAGGAAGGCCAAGGCAGACTATCCATTGGGAAGTCTCAAAATAAAGATAAGCAACAGGCTCACCGCGTAGCCAAGGCAACAACCACAGCCAAGCAAAAACTTATCGCTGATCACAATGGGTGGCTTAAAGGTGCTCGGTGACAAGTTTACAAGCCCTAGCCAACATGAAGCTGAAGGCCCCTACACAGAGTTTAAGGCCCTTATGGCCCATGGCTACCAGCCCGAAGCTAAGTTGTGTGGAGGTGTTCTTTATGATCGGCGAAGGTGAGATTTTTTTGCCAACCTTGCCACCTTGCATGTCCTGCATCCCACTGACATATGATCTTGAAGGATCAGGAAAAACTTCCTCCACCAACCTGAAAACCCGTGGCTGCATGCGAACATCTGAAAGGCAGTGAGCAGACCAACCTAGCTCCACGGAGTCATGAAATGCTCTGACTTTCAGTCCTGATCTCGCTTTCGGATGCAATGTGCCCGATGCTGGGCCCGACTGCGGTGCGCGTTGTTTGTCGGCACGGTAGACTCAAGCTTCAACCTTCCAACGCACAGGTTTGGATTGCTCTAGGCTGCAAACTTCCTGTTAATCTGAATCCCTGCCATGTCTGACAGACTTCTGAAAACCTGTATTTGATGACCAATCTTGTGGAGCCAAGCCAAGCAATCACTCAACCTGTTGCCCGCAGAGTGCAGCTGGGCCTGTGTCGTTGCAGCACAGCATCGGCTTTCCCCTTACGCTGGGGTCGATCCCGACCCTCTGCCGTCCTTCAATTCTTCAGCTTTTGGAGACAAAGAATGAATGCTCAAAGCCCAAACATGTGTGACATTGCTGGTACAATATTGTGCATAGCCTAGCGTGGGGATTCCCTAAGGCTGCTGCTGTTTGGCCATTCCCAAAAATTCGTTCTGATCACTTTTAAGTCGCTTCAGAGGTCTTAAATTCATGGTTGCCAGCGAGCAAACTAGAGTGTCGAGACTTCGCATCAGTAGAGCTGCTGTTTTGGACAACAGGGGGAAGCAAAATCGACTGAGGCGCTGCGAGGGTTCAAGTTGGGCCACGGCTTGCAAAGGTCATGGTCACCGCGGACCGCGGGGGGCGTCTTCTTAAGGCTCCTGTTGTTTCAGCGCGGGAACTTGCGGGCGGGCCTCGGCGCTCGGCGTAGCTGACATCCCGGTCCCTACTCTGCGATTTGTGGGGCTTGCGAAATCCCGCGCAATACCCCTGGAAACGCATGCCCTCGGAGTCTGGACGGATCAATCTCGAAACAAAAGTCTGGCAAAGGAGGCGCTCTGGCAGGAGGAGGAGCTAGAGCAAGGCAAGGAATAATTAGGGGAGGAGCAGGCGGAGCACGAGAAGATTTGAATTTGACGTCAAATGCGAGTCACGATCTTTCACAGATTTTCAGCCCTGGAATTCAATGGTTGGCAGCCCTTTATGATTTGCACACCCTCGAACCCAAGGCTGCGTGTACGACCAATAATAAATCAGAAATTGCAACTAAAATCAAGTTACAGATCCTGATTCTGTGGATTCTGCCTGGTGCAGGGAATGGCAAAATTGTCACTCCCAGTATCAAAATGATGCTACTAAGGTTTTTTGCATCCACGCCTCCGTAGATAATGCTAACATGAAGTCATTAAACTGTCTTCATGTGCAACAGCAGCAAAGGAGATTGGTCTCCCTGGCACAAGCCTAGGCCGCAGATCCGCTGCATCTCGAGGATGTCGATCTGGGGGCTCGCAGCCCTTTACCTACGAGCAGTCTTCTCCGGAACAGAATGACATGAGGTCAAAAAATGCGCTGCCCAGCCCAGAAAAAACACTAAAATTGCCTCGCGCAACTCACACAAAAAGACAGGCCATAGCATCCCAGCCACCCAGCATCTTGGTGGCATGAGGACAGGATCGACCATGCTCGTCCCGTATGGACCCTGCTTGCAATCAGGCCCAGGAAAGTAGACTCCACAAAACTCCTGCCGGTAGGCTGGACGGCTGGTACCTCCGTGCTTGTTCCGCATCTGCTGTTGATATGACCGAGGCCGGACTGAGATGATGCCATAGTCATGAACATGCAATGGCGACGGCGGGCGTTGAGCGTGGAGTATCTCGGAGTTGTCCAAGCGCACCTGCGCTGGCAGCACCGAATCGCTGCGATATCTTGGCAAGCTTCCTGCCGCGCTCTTGGTGCTGCTGACATCGCTACTGTTGTCAGCTTGCAGTCCTTGGCTGTCAGCGGGACTTGAGAAATTTTTCCCTCTTCCTCTCATCCTACAGAGTCTGTCGACTTGAAGGTCTTGACTCACGTCCTGATTTTCTGGCTGCCTAGAACAAGCCAAGCCTCGTTCAAATTGAACAGCGCGGGCCCTAGCCCAGCCCTCGCTAAGCCGGATGAGCTCAGCCTCCTCCTCAGCCTCCTCGCGGGCCGCCTTCTCCTGTGCCAAGATTTCCAAAGCAACGATTCACTAGACCCGTTCTTCTCTAGCGCTTAAGATCTCTTAAGCGTGACATGCTTGCAAGCGCTCCTTTACGGCCCGAACATGGTCATCAAATGCATTCATCTGGTCATAGGTCCGCTTCACAATCTTTTGAGTGACCTCCGTTTTCAGCCTGATCATGCAGCGCATCTCTTGTAGTTCGCAACTTTCAGGACATAATTAATTGATGCAGCAACAGCCAAGTTGGGTCAGACATACATTAACCGCCCCTCACATGCCTGTACTTGACGCGCACATGAAGATAGCAGACCAACTCAGCCCACCACTGTTTGGTAATTTGCTCAGCATTGCGGGCCCGCTGGCGAAAGCTTGACACATTGTGCCATACTTGCATCTCCAGTGACCGATGGCCGCTTGCCCAGCGCAAACAACTTGAAATCAACGTAGGGCCACAATAACCATACTGAGGTACAGAATCATTGCTTGCCCTTGAGTTTCTGAGTTGCACAGATCCACAGGTGGTGAAATGCGGGTCCTGGCGTTTTACCTTCGAACCCGGCTTCGGATGTCAGCTTTCACGCATGACAAGGCAAGCTTCGAGCTGATTCTGGGATATTACGGGCAGGTGCTCAGGCATGCTCAGGCTGTGTTTCTGCAGCTTCCTGAAACAACCTCTACTCAATTAATGAACGACAGAAGATGGCCAGCGTACCTGACATCATCCTCAGGTCTTTTTTCACACGCATCTCTGTGAAGCAAGGGTGTGGTACAAAGCGCTCAGAATCCCGCGGTGGTCGCGGGAGACGGTGCTACATCTGATAAGCTGATAAGCATGCGAAAAATCAGGAACAGCCACGAAAAAGCCTCTCGCTGATGACAGGAAAGGCTTCGCGCGCACAAGCTGGCTTCACTCATGCGACGCGCCCTGAGCTGGTTGGTCCTTCAGAATGGCTGCGCGCCCAAGCATGGCATATTGCCCTCTTGCATGGTGTTATATAGCTCTTCCTGCGGTAGCCACACGGCAGTCTCTCCAGAAAGCTGTTCATCCTGTGTTGACATCGCTGCTGTCCTGCAAAAGATGTCCTGCTATCTATCAACTCACCCAGCCACTCCATGCATTCGTCCCTCTCATGCTCGGTAGCACTGACCCTTTGAAAGATTCTCCTCTTGACCGGAAGGGAAGGGTGGCAGTAGTCCGCTCTCCAGGGCCGCTGTCAGGCTTTCAGTTTGACTCTCCCTGTCGCATCTTCCGCGTGATTGATTACTAATTCAGGTTTCGCCTCCCTCTCTAGTCAGTGCTCTTGTCAGCGACTTCGGCCTCACTTGGAGGCTTCATTTTCTTGAGAAGTGCCAGAACACGGGTCCTGCAGATTCAAAGCCGCCATGAGAAAGCAGACCCCGCTGAGCAAGTAGCAAGCCTCCAAGACTGCTTGACTTACTGGAGCGGTCCTTTGCTCCAAAAACCGTTAACTGCCTGCAGTCGACACGGAGTCAGGGAACGGGATTGTACGATTGGAGAGGAGCTGGGCACGGAGAGAAACGAACAGAGAGATAGAGTCTAGCCTGAAGTGCAGATGCTCAGCTTGATCGTGTGGACAGATCGGGGTGGAAAAGACTTACTGCTGCCGGAAAAACAACTCTGAGACCAAGGCTCGGATGAGTTCTCGGCTGAGACCATGCACTAAACGAAGTGACCAAGTGTTTAGCCCAAGGAGCGCTCACGCTGACTTGGAGGCCCGCTGCTAGTTGGGAAGGTGCCAGAAGCCCCAAAAACACTGGGAGGCCATTGCCCAACCTTGTGGCAAGATGTAAAAGAAGGCGGTCTTGCCACGGTGTCTCCAGCATATTACATGCAGCCCAGGCTCGCAGTTAAAGATGAGAACACACCCTGCATGCATCGCTGCTTCTCAAAAAGCATCTGAAGCCGCAGGATGAGCTCACTGACGCTAGCATTGCTGAGCCCGCTTTGGACTACGAGGCGGGCAATCTGCACCAACACCCATCAGCATCCAGCTGCATACATGTCAGCAGGTGCTCTTAGGCAACGCTACTCCACTGCAAAGACGACTGAGGCTGGCCTGAGCTGTCCCACGCTGGCCAGCAGGCACGGCACCCTGCAGCGCAGATATTGCCGGCCCGAGCCAGCTTTCTGCAACAAGATACCTGGGTGGTGAACAACGGCTCGGTGCTGACTTCAACACATGTGCTGCTTGTAGTTTTGGGGAACATGATCCACCTGAATGGCCAGACGCACGTGACATTGCACAGCTTTGCTGCCACAAATAGTAAGCATCACCGGGGTGCTCCACAAGAAGGAACCCCATGCAAGTCTCAAAGCTCAGTCCATCATCCAACGTGAAGTACCTGGCCATGATCAATTTGCATGGAGCCAGTGCTTGCAAATCGACAACAACATATCCTTTCCAACTCCCGCACGCGCTGGCCCTGTTCATACAGTAGCATGCATCCGAGGACCAGGCCTTGTTGCGTGCACTACCGCTACAAAACAAGTGTGGTTGAAAACGCAGGCTTTTGCTTCTCATGAATCGGTGGGGGATGACATCTCCATGAAAGGGGCGAGAGCCTTCAGGAGTCGTCTCTGTAGGTGCCACCATCCAGCTTAAGGATTGGGTGAAGATTTAATTTAAGATTGTTTTTGTATTTCTTTCCTTTTTTGGGGGTCCTGGGCATTCTATAGACCAAAGTGTGAGGACGCTCCACGCGCGAGCTCTGCTTTGAGCCGAAATTTGAGGACATTCTATGCGGGAGCTCAATTTGGTGTCGGCTCAGTTTTGAGACCACATTTGAGGACGCTACGCGGGAGCTCAATTTAGTGTCAACATGTGAAAACGCTCCACGCGCGAGAGCGCAATCTCTCAGGATGCTCCTGCAAGAGCTCAATAAATGAATAAATGATAGTGATACTTGGAATAGAAACGAGAATAGACAGTACTTGTTGTAATGGTAATCAACGTAATCATAACATTCATGATAAAATGAAAACGCACCCCCCATTCGCAAACAAAAGATCCGCACAGCCCCTCCCTACAGCAAACATGGTGATGACATGA